TGACGATTCGACCCTTATGACATGGTGCATTATCCTGTTGGTAAACACCATCCCCCGCAGGAAAAACTGCTGCCATGAATGGGTGAACCTGGTCTGCAACTATGTTCAAGTAGCTTACAGACGTCAGGGGTTGCTCTATGAGTATTATGGGTCCTAATGTGCCCCATGAAAGCATTGTTTCGGGGCGAGAAACCATGAAAACCTGGGCGAGCCCATCGTTATAGATGGAGGGAGGTCATAATGTAATGGCTCTTCGGTGTATATTACTGTGAATGATCGAAATTGGTGGTTGCTGACTTCCACCTGTGAATGTTGACAATCGCATAGTTGCTTACGTAAATGTCTGAAATATTTACTCGGTCTTGTTAAATGCCGCAGCCTGGTATACATTTGCCCGGTATGCCCTACATCAGCGTTTTTTTTAAATCTTTTAAAGTGAAGTGACACTGCCCAGTATGAATTTAACAGGTAATCCAAACACTGATGTTTTTACTAATCGATCATTAATAGATATGCACCAAAGCGACTATGCGATTGTTGACATTCACCGGTGAAAGTCGACATTCTCTTGGTTTCGGTCATTTACGGTAACATATGTATACACCCTCCTACTCCTTTGGATTTTACTTTCATATTTAATGTGGAAGCAAAAGTTCGGCATACACGCTTGTTTCCTGTTTTAACAAATTTGATTTAACATTCTTTTAATTACCATCACATTTACCTAGTTTAAATACATAAGGAAGATCTGCTAGCATTTTATTGTGCTTATGTAGAAAAATGATTTAAATATTTGGCTACACTGCTCTTCAATAGCTATTTTAAAACCTTTTTGACCAAGCATACTTAATTTTCCCGTAACAAGCGCAGTGCTGAGGCATTGGGCGAAATTAGAAAAATTTACTTCTGGCCAGTGGCTAATTGTATCATTTTTAATGGTGGCCAATTTTTCAGAAATTGAAATTTATAAATAATTAAAAAAATTTGATATTATTAATGTAAGGCAATACTTTTAAATCATTTTTCAATTCACGAATTTTGTCATGTAAACAGATATATACTATATCATACATATAACATTTTGTGTTTTATTATTAATTTTCGGGATTTTTATTTTCTATTTTGCCGACCAGGTGGCCGAGTGGTAAGCGTGTCTGACTGCGGAGCCATTGGCCGCGGGTTCGAATCCTCCTCAGGGCATGGATTTTTCTTTCTGTCTCTCTGTGTTCTATGTCCTTTCCGCTATGTGTGAAAGTGACCCGCCCTATAAACGGGTTTGTGGTTGTGTGACGTGGGCGACGCTGCTCCAACGCCTTGGCCCCACTGGGTAACGAGAAGAGAGTAGCAGTTCTGGCATTTCTGTGGCCAATGGGACAAACCCCAAGTGCCCGCCATTAAAAAAAATTCTATTTTTTCCTTGATTGTTTAATTTTGCATTTTTTGTTCGATTTTTCATTTTTTGCTTAATAAGTTCTATTTTCGTTTCAATGTTCGGTGCTCCTCACACTATTGGTTGTAATCTGGTCCATCCACTTATGTGCTTGGGATCAGGGTCGAACAGAAAAAAAAATTATATCTGTCTATTGCGTTTGTTTGACGAATAATTGTAGATGCGAATCGCAGAAAAGCAGAAAAACAACAATAACACAATTTTTACCTTAAATTTCGACGAAGTTAACTATTGTAGTTACTCGTGCAGTTTTTTAGAAGTAATAATGAATAAATAATGCATATAACCACTATCTACATGATTTTTTTTTGAAACTACATAATTAGTTAAAGTAAATTCATCAATCCAAACAAATCTTAACTAGTCTTTTTTTTTCTAGTTTCAAACTGATGCAACCTAAATTTTTCAGCGTTTTTCTAGTGTTCTAAATGGTCTCTCTGGTCCAATTGCGGTTCTGGTGAATTATTTCAACTGCTACCTTTGCTTTTTCACCAAATTTTATCTTGTACTAAGAAAAGTTTGGAGCCAGAATAACGATTTGTTTTATCATAGCTATTAACGTTTACACTTTCTGTTAAAGATTTTCTTCAATGGTAGAGAAAAAAAAAGAAGTTAAAGGCACTGTCTTTATTTTGGTCAATACTTAAACAACTCACCAGAATCATTCTTCAGGATTCTTAATATATATATTATACACACACACACACACATATATATATATATATATATATATATATATATATATATATATATATATATATATATATATATATATATATATATATATATATATATATATATATATATATATATATATATATATATATATATATATATATATATATATATATATATATATATATATATATATATATATATATATATATATATATATATATATATATATATATATATATATATATATATATATATATATATATATATATATATATATATATATATATATATATATATATATATATATATATATATATATATATATATATATATATATATATATATATATATATATATATATATATATATATATATATATATATATATATATATATATATATATATATATATATATATATATATATATATATATATATATATATATATATATATATATATATATATATATATATATATATATATATATATATATATATATATATATATATATATATATATATATATATATATATATATATATATATATATATATATATATATATATATATATATATATATATATATATATATATATATATATATATATATATATATATATATATATATATATATATATATATATATATATATATATATATATATATATATATATATATATATATATNGATGAAACGATTATATCTTTTATATATATATATATATATATGTATTCTTAATTATTTGTCTCGCTCAGGTTGAAATCATTTCAAATCGAATTATTCTGACAGAATCAACTATTAAAACAAAGTTTGCTGCCATTGGAAAAACAATTTTTGTATAAAGCGTAGAAAATAGCAAAAAAATGTTGTATTAGTGGTAGTTTCGTCTTGAATAGTGAGATCGTGCTTTTTCAAAGTTATCTTCTTCGCCTTAGAATAGAATTTTACATCTGGCTTTAAAATTTCAATTATCTATCTGATACATTGTTAAAAATTTAATAATTTTTATCCGATACGTGTAGGTGTATTTAAATAAGAATTAAAACTCATGATTATTATTTACTGCCTGGATATTTTTTATCAAAATAAATTTAATCAGAATATTTTTAAAATTTTAAAATCTATCTTAATTTCAAGAACATTTTTATGGTATATTACCTGATAGAGCAACAGCAACTTTGGGTACACCTCCTAAAGGAGCAAGTGCATCTCGGGCTTTCTTTCCAAAGAGCTTTTCCAAGAAGTTGGGTCCGTGGTTGGCTAACAGAGCTTGCAGGAAATTTGCTGTCTCTTCAACAGGTGGTCGCTTAGCTGTGAAAAAAAATTTAGGGCATTTATGTTAAAGAAACGTTTCAATTTCTTAAACACAATATAATTTTAGAAAAATTGTTTTTGGTGCAAAAGTAAGGGATTTGGTTGTGCATTTGAGCCCTCTCCACATTTGAATTTTTAACCTTGATCATTAGATTTACAATCTAAGGGGACCATTTAAATGCATAAACATTTCTTCTGTATTACAGAGTAGAGGCAAGATGGAGCACACTATATGGATTCTAGATCAACTCATGACCCATAATATCATTGTACGCTGCTATGTTCTCTCAATTACAGACTGGCCGCAAACGCAAAATGCAGAACTTGAACGAAATCGGTCGAATAGTTCCTTTGAAATCAAATTTCAAAAATCTGACCTTTTAAAACTTCGACTTCTCAGGAATTATATATTTAGCCAATTTCCTTCAAACTTCGTATTTTGCCTCATAAAAATACACTCTTTAAAATTTTGTAAAAATTTGTACTCCTGGCTATTTTGAATTTTTCAATAAATTAATCGATAAATCATTGAGTCGCTGAATCATAAAATAAAATAATGAAAAAATTAGTTTACATTATTGTCTATATTGAATTATTTTTCGAGAAACAAAATTCTGGGCAAAAATTTTTCAATTTGATTAAAAAGTCCTGATCCTAAAAGTATGATCCTGGCTATTTTGAATTTTTCAATAAATGAATCGATGAATTATAAAAATAAAATAATGAAAAAATTAATATACATTATTGTCTACATTGAATTATTTTTCGAGAAACAAAATTCTGGGCAAAAAGTTTTCAGTTTGATTAAAAAGTCCTGATCCTAAAAGTATGATCCTGGTTATTTTGAATTTTTCAATAAATGAATCGATGAATCATTGAGTCGATGAATCATAAAATAAAATAATGAAAAAATTTGTATACATTATTGTCTACGTTTAATTATTTTTCGAGAAACATAATTCTGGGCAAAAATTTTTCAATTTGATTAAAAAGTTCTGATCCTAAAAGTATGATCCGGGCTATTTTGAATTTTCCAATAAATGAATCGATGAATTATAAAATAAAATAATAAAAAAATTTGTATACATTATTTCCTACGTTGAATTATTTTTCGAGAAACATAATTCTGTGCGAAAATTTTTCAATTTGATTAAAAAGTTTTCGAGATGTAACTATAAGTACGGAAAAATTAAAGATAGGATTAAAACGGGTTCAAACTTTTGATTGCTTGCCTGACCGAACTATTGGGATCATATTTCCCAGATTGTGGCTAATTCCTATATTTGGGGGTAAGGAATCAAAACCCGTCGAATTTTTTTTTATTCTACATGCCAAATTATACAAATTGTTATTTTATGTAGCAAAATACGAAATTTGAATGAAATCCGTCAAATAGTTCTTGAAAAATCGAATTGTAAATATCTGGCTTTCGGGATCTATTTGACCGATTTAGTTTATATTTTGTACTTTGACATATAAAATTACATTCTTTAAGATTACGTAAAAACATGAATACCAAATTTGTTATACTATTTTTAAATAAAATAATTAACACCGATAAATAATTAAATTTTTTGCATGAAATTATTTTTTAATGAGCGAATTTTATAATTGTGTGAAATTTTTTTAAAAATTCGCTCGCATAAAATTACGAAAAAAAGTAAAATTAAAATTAAGGAGTCAAATTTAGGACAGATTTTCTGACCAAACCATTCTAATTTTTTTTTTTTTTGATTTTGCTTTGAAAGGATGGAAAATATTTCCTCAATTTTGACGAAATTTGCTTCAAATCAAAGTTAAAAACAAGAAAGATGAAAATAATTAATGTTAATCTTTTTGTGGATATAACATTTTTTTCTTACATTAGTGAACCATTGTGAATTTGGATTTTAATTTTGTTCCCCTCGAAAATTGGATCTTAGCGACTCCTATGATTTAATCGGATATAATGAGAAGCCACATTTCTTCCTAAGAAGTATATTCAAACATTCACAAGTTGGCTAATCACGAACCCCCAACCCCACCCACTAAATGAGAGAGGAATTAACCAAATTTACCTGATAATTCGTAGCTATGGCAAAAATACTTGTTTTTGCATTTTTTAATTATTATCATCAATTTTGAAAAAGAAATGGTCCCATTGAAAGTTGTTAAAAGCTAATGGAATTAAATAGATGCTTTATTGTTCTATAAATCCTTTTATTGATGTATTACTCTTTCATTAAAACGCCGTACATCAATCCTGTTAAACTCAAGAACGCCAAAAACGAACATAATATCTGTAAATCTTACAGTCTTAAGAGGAAACAAAACATTTAGCGCTTTTCCAATAACTTTCAGGAAAAATGGACACAAAACGTTGCAGGAAAAAAAAAAGTTTGATGTTCACCTGTGTTTTGAGGTTCTTCATTTATCTTGATTTCGTAAATGCATTTTCCTTTGCCAGAACAGATGACGTGTAATTCTTCACGGCATTTTCTTATGGTACTTAAGTTTTGCGCGGGAACTTGACGTGAATTTATCGTAATGTTTTATCACATTAGGCGAAATATACGAGAGAGAGTCGTAAAAAAATTTAGAATTACATACTAATGTGTTCGATATAGAATGAATTTGAAATTCGCAGAGCATCGTCTTCAGTTGAGAAACTCATAAATCGTTTGATCAGAAAATAATAAATCTTTGTTAAAAACAGCATGTATTGGGACGATTTAAGTCTATGGTAAGTGCCAGTTTAATCGAAGAGAATTCTTTATTGAAGATCTAAGAATGAAAAATGCTCACGAGAGCGAAAATGAATAGTTATTTGTTTGGGTCTACTCGTAAAACGTTAATGGGTTTATTAACCTTCCATTTTTTTTAAAATCTTATACAGCGATTTCACGTCTTTGAGATCGATTTCTATGTATTAAAATAATATTGAAGACTAATAAGCAACTTTTCATAAAAGTGTAGAAATTATTAGGCTTAACTTCGACCTGAGGAATAACTCCAAAAGTTTATGCATTTAGATAAGTATTTTATTTGGAACTAGATTAATCGAATTCTTCGTACTGGATGAAAAAAAAAATCTGTACTGAGCAACAACTAAGAAAACATGCACAAATTTAAAAGACATATCAACAAAAATAAATCTAATTTTCTTCATTTAATAACATATTTTGTTCTTCCCGGTGGCTTTACGTTATTATATTAAGCAAAAGAGGAGTAGTTTTTCCCATGAAAATAAAGATTCACTGCATTTATTTGGCATGATGCTCGCTGTCAAGTTATTTTCTCCTGTATTTATCTCTTTCAATGAACAGTAAAGAACCTCTTCCCACAGCATTTGTATTAACACTATACAGTACTGATGCAGTTTGGACAAGTACCAATTAAACTAATATAATACAATGTCTCTATATCTAGAATCAATTAAAATTGCGCCAATTCTCATTATACCAGTAGCGCCTATTACCAAAAGTAATTAAGTATTATTCCCTCAATAATAGTAGGACAAATTTTTATATTTCTTCAAAATGAAATACTACTAATTATGCAATAAATTTGCCTTTCAATGCATAAGTTATTTAATTTTATTTAAAAAACAGTTTCTTTTAAATTTAGTTTTAAGGAGTAGCTTTCTTAAAGCATGACAACAAACTAGATTAAAACGTGTTTTTATATAAATGTAGGAACACTCATTAGGTGACGTAGTCCATTCACGTAACAACGTTCACGTTAATCATTGAGCTTAGCTGGCATAACGAATTAAAACATAATTAGACAATAAAAACTTACAAAGAACTCATTTTTCTTATAAACGAGAGCTATAAGCTATCAAACATCACTACATCATTAATAACATATTAATTTATATGAATGTAGAGTTCTAAGTCAATGAGAAAATTTCATTTTTCAAACATCTCTCAAGAATGATTTAATTGAAATATTTGAACAAATGTTTAGGTAGGAGGTTAAAATTGCCCCTTTCAACCACTGTCTTAAATTCACAAACGGTTACTAGAGTTATAAGAGAGACAGACACACAGACAAAACTCTTCAACTCGTTATTGTAGATAATTTAAGTACTGTGACTTTTAAAATATAGGTACAAAGTATCCTTTCTAAAGTATTCAGTATTTTTCGAGAAAAAATGCTGTTTGTTTAAATTGTTAAGAAAAATTCCATTCTGGTTAAAGAACACTACGTAAAAACGTAACTCATTAATTTTGCAAGTGAGACCTATTAATGCAAAAACTTAAAGCAAGAGCGAGTTTTCTTTTTCTTGTGACGAGGTGATTATAACTTTAATTAAAAGTCGAACGAAAGCACGTTGAATAAAAGAAAATCTAAATAAAATTGCAGCAAAAATATACGTAAGAAACTTTGATATAAGTCCATTGCTCAAATGTGCTTATGTTCCTAAGATTCAAAATAAGCAGATTTATTTTTGGGAAAATGTAGAATATTCTTTAAAAAAAAGTTTTACGTACATGAGAAATTCTTTCCCCACTTCAACATGAAACCAATTTTTTTTTTCGTTTTAAACTTTCTCGTTCTGTTTTGAGCAGTATTTTTACTTGAATAGCAGTATTTATATTTTTATTTGAATGGTCGGAAAAAAACTTATAAATGCTTAGAAAGCCCATTTTTTTCCCTTAAATTCTTTATAAAATTATTTTGAACGTTATAAAGGAGAAAGTGATGCGCTATCATGTATGAAAACCGTAATATTTATAATATATTACCTCTTAAACATGTAACCATTTTTTTCGTTTCATACTTTCTCGTTCTGTTTTGGCAGTATTTTTATTTGAATAAGAAATGGCCGATAAAACTTATAAATGCTTAGGAAGCCCATTTTTTCCCTTAAATTCTTTTTAAAATTATTTTGAACATTATAAAGGAGAAAGTGATACGTAATCATGTATGAAAACCGTAATATCTATAATATAATACCTCTTAAATACGCAACCATTTTTTTTCGTTTCATACTTTCTCGTTTTGTTTTGGGCAGTATTTTTATTTGAATAAGAAATGGTCGATAAAACTTATAATTGCTTAGAAAACACCTATTTTCCCTTAAATTCTTTTTAAAATTATTTTGAGCCTTATAAAGGAGAAAGTAATGCGTAATCATGTATGAAAACCATAATATCTATAATATAATACCTCCATGTAACCATTTTTTTCCTTTCATACTTTCTCGTTCTGTTTTGGAAGTATTTTTATTTCAATAAGAAATGGTCGATAAAACTTATAAATGCTTAGGAAGCACATATTTTTCCTTAAATTCTTCTTAAAATCATTTTGAACGTTATAAAGGAGAAAGTGATGCGTAATCATGTATGAAAACCATAATATCTATAGTATAATACCTCTTAAACACGTAACCATTTTTTTCGTTTCGTACTTTCTCGTTCTGTTTTGGGCAGTATTTTTATTTGAATAAGAAATGGTCGATAAAATTTATAAATAATATCCCCAATACAAAATTGTATAAGATGCCTTAAAAAATATTTTGCAACGGAAAACAAAAAATGAAAGTTCCCTAGAGTTGTTTGAAAACATTGCAGTAGAGATGTTAACTTGATCCGTATTGACAGAAAATAGTGATAGCAAAGTGTATTCATAAATGTATGATTTTTGCACTCATTAATTAGCTCTATAAAAAAAATAGAAAATGCGATAGTAAAATGTACATTATTTCTTAAAATTTCTTTTATAATGTGAAATTTTTGTCGTTTAGAGGTGTTTTACTCTTTATTATTCATGCAATTTATTCTAATTATAAATAAACTAAGCCTAATCAAAGCTTTTACCTTACACTTACGATGTATCAAGAAGTGACGTTAATCGATTTACTCGATTAAGTCGATTTACGAGTCATTACAAATCAATTTCGCAATTTACAGTGATGGAACGAACGCAGAAAATGTAAAAGGGTACGATTTCTTATCATTAATATTTAATTTCCCAATTTAACTATTCGTAAGTATCACCCTACCTTAGTATCAGGGATATGTATTGGATCGAAAATCTTTTAACTAAATTTTCTGCCCGAAGGCCTCGATTCTGCAGAGACTCTAAACTATTAGGCCATAGGCAGAGCGTGAAGAAGGCGCACTTCATATTCTTAGAAAATTGTTCGTTCATTTTAAGATTTATTTATACATTTATGCATAAATAGACATACATACAAAAAAAGCCGTGGTGGCTCAGGGGATAGAGAGTTCGCCTTCCAATGAGGTGAATCGGTTCGAATCCCGGCGATGACTGATACGAATTCCGCATCCGGCTCACACTGACCACAGTGCTGACGTAAAATATCCCTTCTGGTAGACGGATCACGGGTTAGAATTCCCTTGCCATCAGGTTAACCGTGGGAGGTTTTCCTCTCCATGTAACGCAAATGAGGGTTAGTTCCATCAAAAAAGTACCCCACGAAGACAAATTTTTCCCCAATACTTGATACAGAGCCGCGATGGATTAGGGGATAGAGCGTTCGCCTTCCATTGAGCGGAACCGGGTTTGAATCCCAGCGGTGGTTGGTCAATACGAATTCCGCATCCGGCTCGCACCGACCGCAGTGGTGACGCAAAACATCCTCAGTGGTTGACGGATCATGGATTAGAGTCCTCTTGCATTCAGGCTAACCGTGGGAGGTTCTCGTGGTCTTCCTCTCTTTACGTAATGTAAATGCTGGTTAATTCCATCAAAAAGTCCTCCATGAAGCCAAATTTCTCCCAACACTTGATCTAGGAGTTCCTTTGTCTTCTGGATTAGGTTCAAATTTACTAGGCTACGTAGTTGAACATAAGTAGTCGTAAACCCGAAAATTGGGTCAGCTGTTCAACGACGGTTATAATACTTGATACAGGAGTTCCCAGGTCTTCCGGATTGGGTTCAAATTTACTAGGCTGCGTAGTTGAACATAAGTTGTCGTAAACCCGAAAATTGGGTCGACTGTTCAACGACGGTTATAATACTTGATACAGGAGTTCCCAAGTCTTAAGGATTGGGTTCAAATTTACTAGGCTACGTAGTTGAACATAAGTTGTCGTAAACCCGAAAATTGGGTCGACTGTTCAACGACGGTTATAATACTTGATCCAGGAGTTCCTTTGTCTTCTGGATTGGGTTCAAATTTACTAGGCTACGTAGTTGAACATAAGTAGTCGTAAACCCGAAAATTGGGTCAGCTGTTCAACGACGGTTATAATACTTGATACAGGAGTTCCCAGGTCTTCCGGATTCGGTTCAAATTTACTAGGCTACGTAGTTGAACATAAGTAGTCGTAAACCCGAAAATTGGGTCGACTGTTCAACGACGGTTATAATACTTGATACAGAAGTTCCCAAGTCTTCCGGATTGGGCTCAAATTTACTAGGCTACGTAGTTGAACATAAGTAGTCGTAAACCCGAAAATTGGGTCGACTGTTCAACGACGGTTATAATACTTGACACAGGAGTTCCCATGTCTTCCGGATTGGGTTCAAATTTACTAGGCTACGTAGTTGAACATTAGTAGCCGTAAACCCCAAAAATTATGTCGGCTGTTCAACGGCGGTCATAAAATATTTCAGCATGCAATGCATACATTCATAAATCTCAAAACAACCGAACAGTTTTCTAAAAACATAAAGTGTGCTCCCCTTACGTTACGCCCATGTTTGAGACTGCTGCGAATTTTTTTTCATTGGTAGTAAACTAAAGCAAATTTTTTTAAATAAAAAGAAATTAATAGATTTTGAGCATTTATTTAATTAATCTTATATGTATCTGTTCTATTTATTTGCGTTTAGTGGTGAGCGAAATTCGAAATTTCATTTTTTGTGTTTAGTGGTACGATGATATTTCCGGCAATGGGTTGCTATGCAATTCTCAATCCTTATCCTGCATCTCATCCCCAGGTTTGTTATCTCTGCTGTTGACTCCCCTTTCAAAATTTGAAACGGGGTGAGTCTTTTTTTTCTAGTAACCAGATGGTAAATTTTAAAATTATAATTTCTGAATAGAGCTCCATTTTTTAAAAGAAATCTTTGAAAACGAAATTTGGTTTCTAAATTTCTCTTCACAATTAAACCAAATTGTCCTGCTTTATTTACTTTTTGATGAGAAATCGTATGAATAATTCCATAATCGAGTTTTCATTTTAAAAGGCGTCGCCATTCTCAGATCTAGAATAATTTCTTCGCTCACTTGAAAGGTATTATGCAAATGGCGGAAATCCCGAAATGGAGGAAAAGTTTTAACGAGGCGAAAGTTTCCTTCCAAGTGGAATGGTTAATCATATGGCCTTAAGCCTGCTTTTAAGGGCTCACAGAATGTCTGGGCTTTAAAGAAATTTTAAGCTCCATCTTGTCTTTGTTTTGAAATGAGATGCTTACTTTTGAAATTTTGTGGGGTGATTATTTTTCTTGTGGATGGAAGTTAAAGTAATCAATCATGAAATCGATTGAAGATCTCAACATTTTTTGTACAAAAATATGGTATTGATAAGTTTGCGCGAGAAACGTTTAGTTTTGACTTAAACCATTCATTGTAAAATTATAACCATATTGAAGTGATGGTACTTTTTTCCCAAAATCGTTCTATTCTAATGTAATCTATTCTATTCTAATGTAAATCATTCTAAATGTAATAGTTCTATTCTAATGTAAATCGTTCTAAATGTAGTTTACAATAATAATAGCACTTTGCACAGAGAGTTTAAAGAAAGATTAATTAAGCAATTATCAGCATTAAAACATCGACTCTCTCTTGTTGTGTATAATGCTGCAAAAAAAAAANAAAAAAAAAAAAAAAAAAAAAAAAAAAAAAAAAAAAAAAAAAAAAAAAAAAAACGGACCTCTTTAAATGATTTTGATTTAATGATCGCACTTTCATTTTCTTAATGGTCGGAGGGGGAGACTTCAAATATGCAAATTAATTAGAATTTTATATTACGATATTTTAAGTTGCAAAATCAGACACACAAAATATATTTTTTTCTGTATACGCATACCTTTTTTGCGACGGACTCACGTTTCTGACCCTTAAAACATTGAGGGTAGCCGCAATCTGGGAAATATAGTCCCCCATAGTTTGCTCAGGTGAGCGATCCAAAGTTTGAAACCCCTTAATGTTAATTTTACTTTTTGCGTATTTCGCCATATCTCAAAAACTTCTTAAGCGAAATGAAAAAATTTTGCCCACAATTATAAAATTCGTTTATCCAAACATGGTTTGAAGCAATGGTTGTTCAAAAACTGGATTGGCTTTCTCAGGACCCCTATCTAAATAGCACAGAACACCTTTGGGACGAATTAGAGCACATGTTACATAGCCAGTCAAATTGACCATCCTCACTGGAAGCAGTCCCTTCAGATGTGATGGAAGTCAATTCCCATCAAAAAATTGTTGAAAAGTCTTCCTAGACGTGTGCAGTTTATCATCGATGCAAAAGGGGGACCAACATCATATTAATATGTGTCCTCAGGACGATCTAAGTCCATACCACTGGATGTCCAGAAACCTTTTATCAGATAGCATACATGCTATCTGATCAAGGCTATACCTTTGATCAGATAACATATCAGATGGCATACTATGATTTGCATAACGAATGAAAAGAGAGACATTATAACGCGTCATTGTAAAATAAGCTATTTCATTTACCTGCAGTACATAGTCTCAAGTCTTCATCATAACCATCTGGGCAATCGGGAGCACCATCGCAGAGATATTGAATGGAAATGCAGATAGTTTTCTCTCCAGGGCATCGGAAGGGCTGTGTTGGATGGCATCTTTCTAAATCCACTGGAAGAAAAAAGGAGAGTTTTTTAATTTCTGTCGGAAAGATCTGTACAAAATTCTATCGTGTGTAGGTAGGTACTTTGTTTACGTCACACTAGAGCTGCGCAATGGGCTATAGGCGACTGTCTGGGAAACGTCCCTGAGGATGAACCGAAGACATGCCATCGCATTTTTGATCCTCTGCAGAGGGAATGTCTGCCATGCTTTGGTAACCAGACGACATGCGCGCAAAGTTGAACACTTTACGGGAGAACAGTTTTACGAGGACCGATACCACGCACGCTCGGTCCCTACCCAGGCTGATCAAAGTGGTCACCCACCCGCTTTCTGACCGCAGTCAGTGGTGCTTGATTTCGGTGTTCTGCTGGGAACCGTGTCCTTACGATCAGTCCACTGCGGGACTGGTCGTTTGTAGTTACATAGAATGCTGCCAATAATTATTTCAAAACATTAGTTACGAAGTTTTAATCATTTAAATTATAACTTCACTGGGTTGGTATAAGGTGTAATTGTATTCAGAGGTTGTGAGATGAAGTCTTTGACAATAATGTGAACCGATAAAATTTCAGTAGCTTTTATCTCCTAAACTTTATGGTTTTCACATCAAACGCATGGAAGCGTGGTGGCGGGTTCGAATCCCACCGTAACCTTGGATGCATTCTTTGTTATGTCCTTCTCTAAGTTGTTCTATCTGTCCCTCTACTTGACAAAGGTTTATAAGCCTCTAAATTGAGCAAATAAGCCTGCAAATGTATGTAATTTCAATAAAGCAATACCGCAAGGTAGCCAAGTTTTTACCCTTTCAGAGAATTTTTTTCTAGTGGTTGCAAATGTTTTAATGTATGATTCTTTATTTACTAAATTTGTCCTAAAGTTTATTTTCCTACACCATTATATGTGAATGATTCAAAAGTTCACATGAAACGCCACTTCGTTGCTGATTTCTTGAGGTGAGGCTTTTAAAATGTTGACAAAATTAACAAAAATAGAAAAAAACTTTCGTTTTCGATTGTTTACAACCCAATAAAATATTTTGCAAAAAGTGCAGTAGTTGGTAACTCTGCAACCATTTTAAATTATGAAAATGTCGAGAAAAAGAGGATCATTTTATTTTGGACAAACATAAAATGACCGCAATTTTCAACACTTAACAAAGTATTTTTCCCGCTGTTCTGAATTAAAGTGGAAATTTTTAAAAAGAAATAGAATATTTATAAAACTTTTATCAAAACTTAAGAACAATACCATTTGTCTAAATGACTTTCTTTATTTGCTTAAATTATTTATATGAAGTAGTGGACAAAATTCTTTGAAATCATATTTATTAAAATATCAATACATTCCCTTTGTTACCACTGGGAAAAGTATTTTCTAAAACTTCGGAATTTCCGCAATAGTTGGACGGTATTTTATATTATTTCATAACCGTCGTTGAACAGACAACCCAGTTTTGAGTTCACGACTACTAACGTTCAACTCCGTAGCCTTGTAATTTTGAACCCAATCCCAAAGACAAGGGAGTTTCTGGATCAAGTTTTGGGAAAAATTTGCCTTCGTAAAAGAACTTTTTGATGGAACTAACCCGCATTTGTGTTACATAAAAAAGAAAACCACACAATGGAAGCAATGGTAAGGCTGATAGCAATGGGCCATTCCTCTTATTTTATGACAATCGTTGAACAGCCGATCCAATTTTGAGTTTACAACTAGCAAAGTTCAACTACGTAGACTTTTAATTTGTTGAACTTAATCCAGAAGACAAGTAATATCCTTGATCAAGTATTATATAAAAAATATTCCTCTTAATTAATATTTTCAAAATAATGTAGTATTTTATTTTATAATACGCTCACAATTAATTTCATATATTTTGTTTGTAAAGTCGTGGTTCCTCCTCAAAATAGTTGACCATTTAGAGTAGCATAACCGAAAAAAATTGGGCACCGCTGATATAGTAAATGTAATTTAGAACTTTATAAGTAAGTAGTTTAAACTAAAAATTATTAATGATAATCTCTAAATATGATTAATCGTAAGTTTTTGTATTAACCATAATGTTCATGATATAAAACCATTAATCACGTCCATTTTAATGAGTATTAGAAACGCTTTGATTTTCGAGTAACCTTTGAGAATACTTGCTTCAAAGTTACGGATGAAAAAATAAGTTACTACTTAACTTGCATTTACCATAGTTTCTTTAGCTAGCTTACAATTACTGAACTTAATCATTTAGTTTAGAGGATAAACAATATTTTTGCCTTTTTTAAAAAAAAAAAAAGAACTTCAACCAACCACTAATGATGACTTGTTGTTCAAAACATTAGACTTGTTGTTGAAAACATTAGCGACTTTCTAAAACTAAGTTTCACAATTTAGCACGCAACTCTTCAGTATCGACTGCACAAAAAAAACAAAAAAAGAACTCTGGATTCCTGGAACCAAAGATTAAACCATCCTGTGGAGAAAAATCGAATCAATTCGTAACAGACTTCTTTGTTGGCTAAAACTAAATGAACCTAACCTTTGTTTTATGTTAAACAAGGAACAAGTTCACTTAATTGAGCAAAGAATGTCGACAAAGAGGAAAAAGAGCAACAAAAGGTCTTTTAAGTATACGGACAACCTAAAAGCTATTTGGACTGGCCTTTGCGTAATTTTTCTTTTTCCCTTCGTTTGTGTCAACAAACACAGTTACAACTCTTTTCTTTATTCTTTTGGCGATAATGTTGTCGTAAAGGTGGGCTAACGAAAAGAAGAGAGATACTCAGTATCTCGAGCTTTGTATGCGCGTGAGGTGTTTCTTGGAATTGTTCCATCAATTGTTTTTCTTAGAAAAGGATCAGGATAATGTAAATATTCTAATTGGTTACGTATACCATGAAAGCTTAATGGAAAAAAGGAGGAATATTGTGTAGTGTTTGATAAAAAAAATCCTCAGATACCGACTTTTATATTTTAGTCTATTAGAAGTAAATTTAATTTTTATTGGATTGCCAACTAAGTTCCCGCCGTGTTTTTAAAAGGTAAAAGGATGGGAACACTCCTATTTCTCTACCAGTTCCATTATCGTTTGACGTGAAATTTCTTTGTCAGTGCGACCTTGATTACATCGGACGAACTAAACCCATTTTAAAATTGAAGCTTAAGAGCACAGTAGATATGCGCATGATCAAGAATACGAGATATCATAAATTGCTGCACATTGTTGGAATCTTGGACATAAATTCAATTTTGGCAATGCCAGAACTATTTTCACCAAAGTCACACCAGCTCGTCCTGATCCCCTAAAATCTTGAAATTCATATGAATATTGATTCCCTTGCAAACGACATTAATTCCTCACCACCTCTCTATAGTGCATGGAAATGCATTTCACCCTGATTCGCCCCTCTCGGCCACTGTGGTTTTTCTTGCTTTATCACTTTTTTTCTCACTCTCCACTACTGTGGTTTTTTCTAGCTTTGTTTCCTACCTTTACTTTTTATTTTTCTTTGACAACTTTTCGTTTTATTTTTAAAATCACTTTCGTTTCTTCTCATTCTCAATATAAGCACCAGTTTTTTAGCTCTTGACACATGCTGACTGTTATTTCTTATATGTATATTTTTGAGGTGAACGAAGTTTTTATTCAACTAATTATCAGTAGCTGTATTTTGACCTGGATTTATGTCTTTATATATATTTTTTATAACTTAAACAGTAGTCACATTAGAAATTCCCAAAAGCATTAATTCCATATAAATTTTTTTTATTCAAAAAAGCACTTTTTACATCGTTACGCAGACGTAATATCAACAGTGAATTGCTTAAAACTTAATTTAATATACCTTCAAATTTCTTATATTAAACCCTATGTATTTTCAAATTTAAATACTAGATTAATAGTGGAAATACAAATTTGCCTTTATCATAATTTAACCATCTTTTGCTATATTAAATTGTGAACTCAAGCTGCAGAACTCCCAATTTATCCCAAAGCAAACTATTCACTTCGAAGAGAGGTACTTATGAGTTAACTCCGGAGTTAATCCTTTAATTAACTAATTGATTTTATTAGAAAGATGCTACTCGTATGACGTCAATGGCATAAGTGGAAGCGTATTATAGTTTAGACTAAGTGGCTATTTTCTTTCTTTTAAGACCATATTACATTTATAAGTCAGGAATTTCTCTTCTAAATAAAATATTTCAATTGCTTTTATATTATTGCTGAAACGAATGTCTTGATAAATATTAATATTAGAGTAGTTTTGATATAATTGTTTAACGCTTAAGGAATTATTAAGGTTGTATTATTAATTATTATTAATTATTAAGATTAAATGAGATTCCTAAAGGTTGTTCCATGGAACCCTAGGATTCCGTTGAAGAATCATTGGGGTTCCGAGAGCTGTAATTGTTTTTTAGGCAGTAATGATTTTTGAAATATGTTATAAAAATCCGTGACATATTTAATATTTCGATTATATATTTTAAATTATTTCAATAAAATGTAAATGAGAAAAAAAAATCAAACTTAATTTTTTTTCAATAACAATGTATTGAATATATTATGAAAAGAGAAAAACTTCAAAAAAAGTCCTTATTGAAATTTTTCATTCGATATAAAGAAACCAAATTCAAGAAAAAAAACAGTTATGCTTCTGAGATAGTCATTCTCAAACTTTATAAGAACTCTTTTTCAAAAATTATATTTCAAGTTATTTTGCTCAGTTTCAGTTTATACATGCACTAAGAACAAATTAAGGCGCCTTTTCAAACCTGTAATGTCTGTCTGTTAAGTCTGACCTGTATCCAGACTGTATATTAACTGAGTATCAAGTATATTAACTGGAAAAACCTAAATTAAAGTTAACTTTATTATTGACAAAATGATAAAAACTAATTTCATTTTATTTGTATAGCCGTCGTTGAACAGCCGATCCGATTTTTGAGTTTACGACTATCGATGTTCAACTGTAATTTAAAACCTAACTCAGAAGACAAGGGAACTCCTGGAT